GGGGGGAGGGTTACTCCTCATATATTTACCCTGTAATTGGAGGGTTTATGGTTCTAGTAAAATCAGTTAGGTCAAAGAGAATGATAGGGTTTTTAAATCTATTTTATGCTAAACTACATTAAAAACATCTTGGTGTCCTATCAGTAGCTGAGGAATCAATGTTAGGCATTTCATTTATTATTGCAGAATTATCTATTTCTCCTTTTAATTTTTTAATCTTCTAAGTCAGGTATTTTATTGCTTTGCTATCAGGCACATCTCACGCCTTCCATTAAGTAGATTACATTTCCCAGTAACCTTACAGGACAGAGTAACACTGCCCTTGTGTTGTTCTGTGACCGTAACTCTTTATGGGACTAGAACACCTGGTTTTTTCTCCCCAATAGGCTGGCAGTTTCAAACTGCCGACCTTGTGGTTTACAGCCCAATGCATAACCCACTCTGTTACCTTGGCTTCTCATTAGGCATATAGACATTTATGATTATCATGTTTCCCTAATGAGTTACCACTTTTATTATTATGAATATTGCTTTGAGGTCCTTGAGTAGTGCAAATAGTTTGCTTTTGACTGTTTAACCCAAGTCAAAAGCTTCAAACCCATGGTGCTTCAAACCTATTCAGGGTCCAGGTGGAAAAAAAGCTTAGTGGTTTGCTTCCATAAACTTACATCTGGGAAGACCCTATGGAATAGTTCTAGTTTGTAGCATAGGGAGTTTCTGTAACTCACAATCAACTAAAGAACAAATGGGGTGTTTTTTTATAATACTAATTGTCTTAAAGTCTACTTTATTGACATTGTTGTAGCGTCTCTAATCTTCTTATGTTTATTCATCATTTATTTTTGAATTTTCACCTTCTATTAATCTTATAGCATTGTCTATTCTTTTTACTTGTTCTTATGTTCTTATTAGTTTCCTTCATTTCTGGAATATTTTTTAAAAATAATTTCATACAGAGTTATATAATTTCTGATTGCTTTTCTAATTCCTTATTTACATTATTCTTTCACATCTATCATTTGCTAAACATATGTCCTCGGCATAACTCCTTTGTCTAAAGAGAGAAGATTTTTTTTTACATTCCCTCTTAAAACTTTAAATGTCATTTTACATTGATACTCCTTTGTCGCTCAATTGTAGAGGAAAGTAGCGTGTGGCTTACTTCCCTGGACTTTACAATGTAACAGGACAGTCTAACTTCAGGGAGTTTCCTGTTCAAAACTTGAGCTGTCCCCATTCATTTCCTCTTCCCAGTCTTAGTCCTTTCTTTTTCCACCTTTGAACACTGCCTTTATCTGGCTTCGCTTCATTCAACTTCCAGAAATTTCTCACCAAACTTGCTACTAGTTTTCCAAGGTCTTGTGTGCTAGAACTGCTGCAATCCCGTCAGACTTCTTAACATGAACCCCTTGGACCCACCTCTACTACAGAGAAGCCCCTTGATTTCAGAGGCTGTTATCACACTGGCCCACCACATTACTCGGTCACAACTTGCTCGCTTCTTTGGGGGTTCTCTTGCTCTCAAATCATTAGGAAGCCCATTGCTTCTTTTCTTGCCATTCTCTGCAGACACTGAGTAAAAATCCCATTTTCATTGAGTTGCGTATGACTCATAGTAACCCTGTCGGATAGAGTAGAATTGCTACATATGGTTCCCAGCTGGAAATCTTCCCATAAGCAGACTCCACGCCTGTCTCCTGAGGAGCGATTGGTGCGTTCCTACCACTGAAGTTCTGGTTATGAGTCGAGTGCTTGAACACACAGATAGACAGACATAAACATTACATGGGTTTAAGGCTGTTGGATGGTCTTGTCACCTTACCAAAAATTGTTCTTTTGGATAACTTGTCACAGAACTTTTTCATAAGCGTCGTCCATGAGATTTTGATTTGGCTTATGGAGAGATTCAGAAGTTGTGCCACAGTCCTAAATGCCAACTTCTAACAATTGCTTTTAAATAACACCAAGTGTCCCAGATGTGGACGAGAACACAGATGGGATACAAAGGTAAGAAATACCCACGTAAGAAATAAAGTACAGTACTGACTAATTAACTCAACACACTAAATTCATTGCCATCAACTTGAAATTCACCATAGAAATTAGCAACTGAATTTTGCAATGAGTAGAAGAGTACAACATTTCTCAAAATGGGATTCATAGCACGTTCACAGGAAGACATAATCTGATTATTTCAGGGAAAATAATTTGGGAAATGTCATAGTTGGGACAAAGCATACCCATCCTCCTTTAAAGTGGTACAAATTAAGCAAAGGGTGAAAGACTTATTAAAGTTATTAAGGAATAAATCAGAAAATCTGAATACATTAAACTCACTTAATAATTATTGCAGTTTTACATAAAATGAAACATCCTCTGGTGCACTTACCTTATACCAAGTGACAGTGGGTTTGACGTCAGAAGGGAAAAATCCATCTAGATCTGGACAAGTGATCTTCTGCAGACTATGTTCCAGGTAAATTTGATACACTGGGAGTTTCATAGGGGATTTGAAGCAGCCATCCTTTTGGACGACTTCCAGGGGAAATGCAACTTTACTGCAATAAGTAGTGTTCCTGGAAAGAATAGTCAGAGAAATGAGCAGTTTCATTTGCATCTGGTTTAATAAACCCACCACATTAAAACTCATGCTATGTATCTAGACTCTTCATTTATAGAGTAAATTAATTTAAGAATTAAATGGATGGTATTACATACACTAGATTTTTAAAGACAGGTAATATTAATAGAATAAAATATTTATATTTTAATATATGAGCCTAATTGTATAAAAACTATTTTACACTTCAAACATCTTCAGGAACACTCAATGTTGGTAAAGCTGAGG